TTTGTTTGGTTTTAGGAAAGCATCTTTCGTTGTTCCGATGTGTCATCGGATTTCGGTGTTACTTTTCCTTCAACTATTAAAACAATTCCGAAATATTTAAATTTCTGTATTTGCTTGATTTGAACACCTCTAATTCATAGCTCTCATCTTAGCTTGCCCCTCTTACTATAAATTGTATATTCTGTTTTCTTACAATTGATGCTTTCTTCTTTAATCTTGTTTTCACTTATTCTTCTGTGTGGGCTATCAACACAGTATAATCTGAATTTGAATCACATTGTATCCGCCAAACAGATTAAATTCCAGCTGCGTCTCCATGAATAGTGTAGATTTTACAAGTGGAAACTATACCAAGTCTAGTAACGCTCTGTCGAATTCTTGGAGAAATGAAGTTCAAATCTGAAAGCGAACTTCTTTTTGTAAACAACTGATTCTAGATTCTTTTAATGCCTGAATAATGGAACGGTTATTGGCCCGTAAAAAAAATTCGACGAGTCGAGTTTAAATTCCGATCGACGCTGTTTCGTTAATTTCTCGCTAATGCACTTAAACAATGCATAACTACATATTCCTCCAGCTATGGGTTAAATAGCAGAGCAGACAGGGATCTCTTGCTTTGGGTGGCAACCAGTCTAGCAGAAGGAAAGTTCTAAATTCAAATCAATCTAAAGATGGATAGGTTTCGTCAGGCTATCTTACTCTGGACACACCAATGCAGCTCCGACTGAAGTACATGTAGTGCCCCCCTATGAGCCTAATGGATTCAGGATTTCGTGATCAGGATTAGAAAATAATAATAATGACAAGTGAATAATAATGATATCCCATCTATTTTCTAAAAAAAATCTCGGCCCTGAGATTGCTAAGTTCTTTGCTCAAATTCTTTTGGGTTTTTAGAAGCTGTTTCCAGAAAGAAAGGAAGATAATTTGGGCAAATTTAGCTTACTAAAGAAAGTTCTTTGCAATGAAAATTACTTTTGACTCTTTCAGATGATAGATTTTTTTGATTTTTTTTTTTAAATATTTCTTTTTTTTTTCTTTTTTTTTTTTTTTTTTTTTTTTTTTTTTTTTTTTTTTTTTGCGAAATGTTAGAAGGCACCCATTGGGGATAGAAACTTCTTTACCCAAATGAATTCCTATAATTAATTTTACAGTTTGCCAATGAATAAAAGAGGAATTTGGAAAATAATAAACGACAGGGATTTCCTAACTGGCTGAGAACGGATATTTAGATGACGCAAGTAATGCAGCCCAACCTTTTAATAGTAATAATAAGAGGGACCCATACCGGTTAAATGACAAGAAATACACCGAAAGGATAATGCAAGATAGGAATGACTAGGGCTTCCTAATTGACTTCAGGTGGATGTTCAGGTGACGTATGTAATGTGGTCCAACCATCATAGTGGTATTAAGACAAATGAAATTACGGGATACACCGAAAGGTGGTGCTATATCGGAAAGGTTAACCAAATTTTGAATATAAAGGAACATTGTGGAGAGTAATTAATGAGAATTTACAACGTAATTAATCCTACTGCTGACCCGTCTGCCTCTTGAGTATAACCCAGAGATTCACAATAAGTAAAGGTGGGATTTCCAGACAGCGGATAGGCGACAACGAAGAAAGGGAGAAAAAGAAAGAGAGAGAGAGACGGTCTTGGACATCTACAGAAATTGTCCTGCTACGCTGAGACAGCGAGGACTGTAAAAGAGCAAAAAGAGAAAATGACACTTTAAAGACTTCACAGCCAAATCCAATGACCAAAACTAATAGCTTCTTGGATAATGGCCAGCTACTCGTATCCGAATAAATCAATCTGCTAGGATGGCTAGCCAATCCCTGCAGCAGACACCTGCTCTGGCACATTTGTGTTTGTTTAATATCAACAGATCATACCTGTGCTTTACACCGCAACTATGCAGAGCGGACCTTAGAGTTTCTGGGAGAAAGAGAGAGAGTACTTAATATGATGTGATCAAGAGCTTAAACAAGGTACGCTCAAACACTCGGTCACGATGACTTGTGACTTCGTGCAAGCACAGTCCTCAAGGCTTTCGAACAATTCCGTCTACCTAATTTCGCTCACTACACTTGAGTGTCACATAATAAATTATGACCGTTCTCTTGATGGTTCTTGAATGGATTTTGAATATGGAAGGCACAGTACGAATGTTGGTAGCATTACTGAAGATCTGAATGATCTTTTTCCTTTCACCATTGCTCAGTTGGGAAGATATAGTGGGACTGACACAAAACGGTTTAACCTGTTCTCGTTCTAGCTGAATAACTCAAAGGGTTTTTCAGTGATTCCTACAGCAAATGGTGTCAAGATGGCGATCTGAAAACCTGGAAAAAGAAACTCAATTAGTTTAGTGTTATTTTTTTAGATATTAAACATTTTGTGTGATGAACAATTATCTCATGCTGTTACAGGATTTGAACAATTTCTCCTGTTACACTCGGTATATATATATATATATATATATATATATATATATATACGAATTACGTTAAAAAAATATCCGACCTACATTTGGTCATAAAAAAAGCAATTTTGTATATTTCACAAATGTTATTAAATCACCTTCAAAATATTCCCCTTGAGATTTCACTCCCAGCGTTTCTGCCACTGCTCTCAACACATCTAGAACACCTCTGAAACACCTTGTCTGGAGTACCTTCTCTGGAACACCTTCGCTGGAATTCTATTGCGATCCGCTGTCGCTTTTCTCATAATTTCCTCTTGCAACTCAAATCGCTTCCCTTTTAGCATGGTTTTCAGATTAGGGAAAAGCCAAAAGTCATACGGTGTCAAGTCAAGAGAGTAGAATTGGTGAGTTGTTTCCAACAAAAAAGCTTGGATTATGTGAGCGGAATTTCGCCGACACTTTCAGCATGCACAAATCCTTCTTGAGCAATTTCCTGGATTGTTGCACGATGTACTTCCATGACTATTCGCCAAACCTTCTCAACCAGACCCTCGTCTCGGCTTGTGGATGCTCTGCTTGAGTGTGTCTCGCTCTCCACTGAGTTGCGGCCATGTTAGAAGCGGTTGCGCCATTACTTGATTAGAGTTTTTCCCATGGCATCATCGACAACGGCCTGCTGAATATTCTGGATGGTTTGAGCTTGATCATTTGATGCAATATCTCTGCTCGATGAGTTTTGTCATCTTGCGTAAAAGCGAAAATCCGACAAGCGCGCAATTACACATCTGTCCTCGAGGAGTAACAGCCGAGAATTTACTCGACTAACGGCGCAAATATTTTTGCGCATGCGCAGGAAGGGTGGCATCACTTCCCACCCAAAGAATTTTATGCGGCATTAGTTTCGGCAAGAAAAAATAAAGTCGGATACTTTTTGAACGCACCTCGTATATATATATATATATATATATATATATATATATATATATATATATATATATATATAATTCAACTGAAAAATACGATAACTTTTTTCTCGACTAGCAGAACTTCTGCCAAAACCGCTCCATAGATAAATATAGCTATAATATTCAATACATGAAGAAAAGTTAAAGTGAATTTCTTGATTTATTTACAGATAGATAGATATAGCGAAAAAAGTAATTTTATGTATGATATATATATATATATATATATATATATATATATATATATATTCTTATAACAGAGAAATAAAATAGGCTGTAATTTTGATTTTAAAAACCTGCCTTAGTAAAAAAAAAGTACCTAGATTGATATATATATTTATATTATAAATTAATTGATTTAAAATATGGTTTTTTTTCGCTACACAGTTCCAACCATGTTTCAAAAAATAGAAGCTAAAAACCCCCGAATTTAATTTTGCAATTAAATTAAAAGCATTAGTTCCATTTCATCTTCAAGCGAATTTTGGAGTAACTTTTAAAAATTACCGGGTTTAAAGACACAGCTAAAATCACGTTTCCATGGTTACAGAATATTCTACTTAAATTGAACAAGGGATGTCTAGATTTTCTTTTATGTCAGTATCATTGTATCAGTTATTAGCTTCAAATTTGGTAAGGGGTAGGGATGTATTTTACAATGAAACCTGACATCAGTTGAATGGATGTCGTCTGAATGTCTTTTTTTTTAAAAATTGTTAACGGTAAAAAAATTTCAACGTCATTTTTTTAAATTTAAAGATTTTCGTTTTTTTTTTTGTTTTTTTTTTTTCTAATACTTTTTATTTAACTACGATTTGAAATATTCTCCTTGTTAATTTTTATTTTACTATATTCTTTTTAAGAACAGTTAAATGTATTAGAATCCATTATATTATGTAGGATTATTTTAACATCAAGTTTAAGTATGTATATGAGGTTACATTTTTTTTTTTTTTTTTTAATTTATGACTATGACGGCAAAAATGGTTACTTAATTTCACTGATTTAGTAAACTTTTATTTTATATATAAACCTAGTATTATAATGTTTCTCATGTAAGTACTAAGGACATGGGTCATTCAAAAGCTTACATCTTATGGCATTTCATATTAATTTTATTTTACTATAGGTGTTTTTTTTTGTTTTTGGATTCTTTTTAGTGCGTGTAGTATTATTTAAATGACAAGTATTATTCCATGACAAGCAATAAAAATATCTATAAGAACACCGGATTTTATATCTTACTGTTCTTTTTTTTATTTATATATCTTATATATTATTTATATATATATATATATATATATATATATATATATATATATATATATATATATATATATATATATATATTTACGGTACGGATTACCCACTTTTTTCTTGGTTATTTAAACCCAAAAATATTTTTATATTTAAAGAATTTTTGGGAGATAATGATTTATCGATACAAGTCCTACTAATTAACCCATAGCTGGGGGAGAAGAGACGCATTCATACCTTTTCCAAAGCACGTAAGTGAATATATCGAAACCGACTAGAATTTGAACTCGGCTGTTCGACTTCTAATTCCGTACCGTTATCCATTACACCACCGGCACATCCAAGCTTACAGCACACGATATTCCCAAGCGATCACCCATTTAGGTACTGACCAGGCTCCGCGTTGCTTAACTTCGGTGATCCTACGAGAACTAAAAAAATACCGAGAAAGAATAGTAATAAATAATCAACATACAATAAATCCACACCAGACACATTCTTTAGATCATGTGGCGTACAAACGCAAAAGATTTCTCGGGTCACATGTGGACATCTCTGTCAAAACCCGTTACATCCGGGTTTTTCCCGTTAGTAGCGAGACAGTTTGGCATGTTTAGATACAGTTCTCTCTGCCACTTGTCTCGATCAAGGTTTCTGCCAGGGTCTCCTGTTAATCAAATCGACAGAAAAACCAGCACTCAGCAATACTCGGTGTCTTGTAAAGTCGATCCCATGTTCCTAAAATCGCTGTTTTCTGAGACAGTGCCATTTTGTTACCTCTCGTCCCGTTTCCTATTCTCTACCTATTAAGTAGCGGCTGAAAGAGCTATCATTCAGGTGTTTCCCTCAACCTCGATACACCCTTGCTGATACACCTAAACTTAAAGAATGCCAGATCCAAATATTTGCTGATGATGTATTCCAAGCATTACACATCCAATTTCATCATTGGTCATATTTATAATACAATTAAAAGATACAAATATATCCAAGATTTAATATACACTAACATTTCAAGAAATAAACCCACAGAGACATCATTAAGTATACACGTGACGCCCACACAACAAATAAAAAACATTATATTTAAACATTGATGCGTACACACAAAACTATATTTTTATTATCCATATAATAAATACGAATGTCAGTGTGTCACTGTCTTCCACTAATTTTACTCCTTGAGGCCGTAGCCCAACATATACCATTTTGGAATCAGGCCGACTCCGTGAACAAATTAAAAACATTCCGGGCTTGAGCCGGACCCGCAATCCTGAAATTTTGAATTCCCAAGTTTTTATTACTGTGACTGTTTTCGGATTACGCCATCTTGGCTTATTCTGATAAATACAACTAAAGAGACACAACTTTCTAACTTTCAATAGCTCATGTTCAAACGAAAATGTTTCAAAATAAAATTGTCCGTGTTTTCAAGTTTACTCCGTGAGAGTATTGACCAACATATCATACCATTTTGGAATCAGTCCGCTTCCGTGAGTAAATTAAAAACATTCCAGGCTGTAACCGAACCCGTAATCCTGAAATTTTGGATTCCCAAGTTATGAAAACTTGCTTTCGGCCATTTTTTACGTGATTTTTTGCGACGAATTTTTTGTACGATAAAAATTTTTATAACTTGGAAATAAATTTAGGAATAATCGAAATAAATTGCGAAATCCTGCGAAAGTCACCCATGAAATAAAAATAGTTTGTACAGCAAGTAAGGACCTGCATACATCAAATTGTCTTTAAATTAATTGGCGGCAGAAGAATTATCGTTGAACTTTTAAAAGGTAAATATTAATGCAATAGTTAAATGTAGCGATCAATTTTGAGTTCTTTAGTTTATTGTTGCCTATCGCATCTACTCCTCCATATTTACTGTGATGAAGGCCTAATCAAGAGCCCTCCGCAGGAGCTAGCTTAAATTGGGTGGCTTTTAAGCTAGTGTGTGTGTGTGTGTGTGTGTGTGTGTGTGTGTGTGTGTGTGTGTGTGTGTGTGTGTGTGTGTGTGTTTGTGAATATAAGCATTGAGATACTAGCAATTTTGAGGCATTATTTTAAACTTGACCTCAAAGCCGCTGAAACTGCTCGCAGAATTTGGAAGGAAATGAAACGCGAAGACTTCCGGAAACTCTTGAGTGATTCAGACAAGTATCCTTATCTTTATTAAAAAAAAAAATGTTTCGGTCGATATGTCCTCCAGCCTTCTTGAGGTGGATGTTGCTTCCGGAAATATTGATCATCTTAGATATCATATGTGAAACAGTAAATAAGCTTTAACATTCTTGAGTTTCAAAAACGAAAACGCTTTTGATACACCCTAATAAAAAAAATATATAGCCCTATCTGCTTGTTGCCTGTCTTGTAGCTGAAATAGATTCAGTCTCCTCACTAGCGGTCCGTGTTCAAGCCCCAATAAATGGCCAGTATTTCGAATACTAATTTTCAAAACAAACTGGCCTCCTGAGGAGACTGGAGCAACACAATCAACCCTCTATTGCATAAAGTAAAATTAGTTTTATTAAATATTTACAGACCCTTTTCATTTACATGAAAAATATTTATAATAAAATTACACAAAAAAATTATTTTAAAACATTTTACAGCTCTTCTAACAATGGCGACCTTGTGAATTATTCGAATTAGGGTTCTTGTTTTTATTGTTTGAAAATAATGTTTCAGATAATATCTTATCCTGCCTTCTTCAGGATTATGTCGTATCCTGAAAAACTGAATCTTATCCACCTCATCATCATCATCATTATTATTATCAGGACGTGGCGATTGCACGAGTCGTTACGACTCTTTTGCATCAGTTTTCACGATACCCATCGTACATCATAAGTCTTTGGTTTGATATTTAGTGTCTTCATATATTTGATAAATGTATGTTTTATATAGGTGACCACTGCTCGTGCATCAATGTTTTGGTGTCCACAATGGAATGTCACAGATAAGCTCATCCTGACTTTTTTTTTCAGAAATGCCCCATAAATCTTGTTCTAATCTCTCGAATGACCTGTGATATTCGAAGTAGATGACTATAGAGTTTCCTTTATGCCGGGTACTGTTTCCAGGGTAGATCCAATGCAATCCATAGCATCCTTCTGACGTCCTTTGCAATCGTTTTGTCAATGTCCATACGGTACTATAATCGAGCAGGAGAGCTACGGATATGAAGAAAGAAAGAATTCTTATTTCATTTGATGAGATAAAGCAGATTTCCAGACGATTGACATCTTGTCCATTGCAGCCGATACTTTGCCAGTGGGAATATTCACGTCAATTTTAATGAAAACAATGTTAGTTCCAAGAGAGATGAACTGATCGACTATTTTTAATGGCTACTCGGACAGGGAATTGATGGAGCCTTGTTGATTAAAGCACAGGAATGCTGCTTTTGTCTGCATTTACATAAAGACAGATTCCATTTGCTTGCCCCACAGTAGAAAATGTTGAATGCAGCACAACTGACCTTCAGGTTTGTAAATTGTTCTTTTTGAACTGGTGAATGTTATTTAAAAAAAACTGTAGACAACATTCGAAAGGTTTTACTGCATTCAAGAAACGTAAAAAATAGCATTTGCCGAAATGATGTGTTCAAAACAACAAAAATGGAGATATTAATTTAACTGTTTTCTGGAACAGTAGCAAACTCACTGGACACGCAAAAATTCCAAGATTCAGTCAGTTATATGCCATTTGATACATGACTGACGAGGCAAATTTTTCCCGCAGTAGATTGCCATTTTTTTCTGCGGTAGACCAGTTGCCATCTAAGGCTATAGAACCCGGACTGTCCTGCTATCTACCAATAGCTTGGAGGAGAAGAAGAGGATTCATACCTTTCCCAAGGGTATTAGCATATAAGTGAATGTAACGGATTCGACTGGAATTCGAACTCGGCTCTCCGATTCCTCAATCCGAGCCGCTATCCATTATTCCACCGTGCATACTGACTGAATTTTAAGATTATACATTATCTAATAACTCTTTTTTAATCATTACCTGTATCTTCTCATTTTCTCCTTTCCAATATAACTAAGACCATCCATTATATCAGATCTCTGTTTTTCTATCATCATGCCTGTATTTTCTCAGTTTATCTTTTTTCCTTTCCAGTATAACTAAGATCATCCATTATATCAGACTTCTGCTTTGATATCATCCTTTGTCTCTCTAATATTATCTCCTTTATCCATTTCGATTATCGTTAGTCGTACATATATATATATATATATATATATATATATATATATATATATATATATATATATATAGGGAATTTTCTCAATTCAAAACCTGCGGATGATCGTTTGGGGACCTTGTGGCACTTAGTGCACCAGGTCTCTGTATTTGACCCTACAAAAAGTGTGGATGGTCCTGCCCGAAACCATCACCACTATAATCAAATCTCATGTGCTGGTGTCGGGCTGTCGGTTCCTAGGAACTGATCTGTTTGACCCTCATACGTCGAATTCGACGTAGAGTCGAGTATATATATATATATATATATATATATATATATATATATATATATATATAAAAAAAAGGCTTAAACACTAATATTCCATGGTCATAATTTATTCCATTGGAATCGTAAATACGATCCAATTCATCAGACCTACAAATTCAACAAGAAAAAACAACTCCGGAAATAAAAACAGAATATATATATATATATATATATATATATATATATAAGCACTTAGCCACCCATAAATTTACAAGAACGCTTAAGAGAAATTCTGGTCGAAAAATAGTAACATTTATATGAATCATATCACCGAAATCATCTCGCTGTAAGATAGGCCCTGTATATAAAATACCTCGCTCCCAGTATAAATCTCACCTTATTCAACACTGGAAATTGTGTGTTGAAAGTTTTTGAAAAATAAAAAGACGCTCACTCGGATTCCAGCCGAGCTTAACACACAAAGCTCGGAATAAAAGAAAGATTACTGTCCAAATATATATACCCGACAAATCCGTGAACCTCGTTCGAATTCCAGTCGAGTTCATAACATTCATCTCTTCCACTTCCACCCCACCCCCTCACCCAACTTATGGGAAAATATCAGGACAGATTTGGCCCTATATGATTGGTTGACAATCAGTCTAGTAAAACTCTAAAATCAAACAATTGGAGAAGGTTGAGCTCTGTCAGGTTGTCTTGTCCAAGACTCAACTGCTACTACGAATGCAGTATATGCAGTGCCCCTACGACCCTCGGGGGATAAGGGACTCGTGACCGTGATATTTTCTTTATTTAAATGTCAAACATGAATGATTATCATATGCGAAAAAAAGGAACAAGAAATGCACAAATATTATCGATAATTTTTCTTTTGACCGCGAAAAAGAACAAGAAATGCATAAATATTTTCGATAATTTTTCTTTTGTCCGCAAAAGATGTCTTCCAGAAACT